CAGCTCTGACTGGATCCTTCCCTTCCCCAGCATCCAGTCAGAACTGAAGAAGCTTCTTGGATGAGAAGCGAAACGTCTTCAAAGAAAAACAAGAAAATCTAAATTGCCTCTTGAAAAAAAATATCTTTGGGACCTGAAAGTGCAAGAGAAGAGAGAGAGAGAGAAAGTACTAGCTGGATCCAGAAGTTTCTTATTATTATTTGCTAAACATCAGAAATCTTGTAGCAACTTTTTGGGATGAACACAGTTGTTAAAAGGCGTGTGCAATGCCTTTCGATAAAATGAGTTAATCTGAAAATGTGATGCCAAATCCTAACACAGGACCAACACACCTTTCCTGTTACCAAGTTGATTATTTGCTAGCAACTCAAGAGGATAATGGTTATTTAAAACACTTTTAAATTAATTAATTAAAATAATAATAATAATAATAATAATAATAATAATAATAATAATAATAATAATAATAATAATAATAATAATAATAATAATAATAATAATAATAATAAAGTTGGAAGGGACCTTGGAGGTCATCTAGTCCAACCCCCTACTCTGGCAGGAAACCCTATACCATTTTGGACAAATGGCTGTCCCGTCTCTTCTTAAAAACTTCCAGCGTTGGAGCATTCGCAGCTTCTGGAGGCAGGTTGTTCCACTGATTAATTGTCCTCACTGTCAGGAGGTTTCTCCTTAGTTCCAGGTTGCTTCTCTCCTTGATCAGTTTCCACCCGTTGCTTCTCGTCCTGCCTTCAGGAGCTTTGGAGAATAGCTTGACTCCCTCTTCTTTGGGGCAGCCCCTGAGATAGCGGAACACTGCTATCATGTCCCCCCTCGTCCTTCTCTTCATTAAACTAGAAGAGACATACCCAATTCCAGCAGCCGTTCCTTATGTTATAATTAGAAGGGAATAGAGTAGACTTTTTTTCCTAATCTTAAACCCATTTAATTCAAAAGTCCTTGAATTCTTAGGGATTTCTGCAGGAAAATATTCTGGAAGGATTCCTTGTATAGGGTTTCCTATGGATTGTGATTACATTTCCATATGGTCAATAATTTTCCTACTCCTTGAAGTTTAGTTCAATTCTTCTGCTGTGTTGCTTCCAGAGAGAAACAATGGAAGAGAATATTGATTTTATAGGAAGATAAATTCAATGACCAGAATTTCTGTTGCTCAGGAAGGCGGGTTCTTAAGTAAGTCAGGCCTGATTTTTTAATATATATATTTTTTTACAATATTTGTTAAGCAGATCGCTGCCATTGTTAATTGAATCATGCAATTGTTAGATGGATCTGGCTTCCCTATTGACTTTGCTTGTCAGAAGTTCTTGGAAAGATCAATATTTATCTATTTGGTATGCACAGTTGAGTAATGTAGGAAGTCAGCACCCCCCTCCCTCACACACACACACACACACACAAACACACACACACACACACACACGAGAATGAAATATTTTGGGGAATATTAAAAGAGGCAGGATAGAATGTTTCCCCTGAACGAGAAATGAAGGGGTGAAAAAATCTTAACAAAGAGAAGAGCAACAAATATAATCAGGGGACTGGAGGCTAAAACATATAAGGAACGGTTGCAGAAATTGGGTATGTCTAGTCTAATGAAGAGAAGGACGAGGGGGGACATGATAGCAGCCTTCCAGTATCTCAGGGGCTGCCCCAAAGAAGAGGGAGTCAAGCTATTCTCCAAAGCACCTGAAGGCAGGACAAGAAGCAACGGATGGAAAATAATCAAGGAGAGAAGCAACCTGGAACTAAGGAGAAACTTCCTGACAGTGAGAACAATTAACCAGTGGAACCACCTGCCTCCAGAAGCGGTGAATGCTCCAACACTGGAAGTCTTTGACACTGGACAGCCATTTGTCCAAAATGGTATAGGGTTTCCTGCCTGAGCAGGGGGTTGGACTAGATGAACTCCAAGGTCCCTACCAATCATCATCATCATCATCTTCTTCTTCTTCTTCTTCTTCTTCTTCTTCTTCTTCTTCTTCTTCTTCTTCTTCTTCTTCTTCTTCTTCTTCTTCTTCTTCTTCTTCTTCTTCTTCTTCTTCTTCTTCTTCTTCATCATCATCATCATCATCATCATCATCATCATCATCATAAACTAACCAACTAAATTGCAATCCTGGTTATGAATGGGCTGTTGGCAGGTTTTGCTTTCGGTACCAACCGATTTATATCTTTGCTTATGCTACGTGTCCTTTCTAAATGTCAATTTTTTTCTAATCCTTCCAGAAAAGTGGCTTTTGCCCTGACATTTCATTGCTTTACTCACGTCAAAAATGTCAAAAGTAGGTTGGCTCACAGATAAGGTCATCAGTCACAGGGTGGAGGATCACTTTCACCCAAAGGGCAAATTTGGGGCCGTTCTTTCAGTCCTGTCGGTCCTTCAAACAAGGTCAGCATCTGCAGAGATGCCAAGGATAGGTTAACAGATGCCGAAAAGCCCTTTCAAATCTTCCCCGACTTTTTAAAAGAACAAAATCAAAGGGGAAAGGAAAGAGGGAAGGAAATTCCAAAATTAGAACTGGGTGCTCTATTACTCGATTTTCCAATACTCAAAACAATGATACTTGTTCCTAAGAAGATATTGCATTGCTGTACAGTATTAATAAGAAAGGGACCGATAGGCTGGTTTAATTTTAGTTTACTTTAACGACAAGTGCTGTTTTTTATTCCCATTCCCCACCATCCAGTCAGAATTGAAGAAGCTTCTTGGAGGAGAAGCGAAACATTCTCAAAGAACAACAAGAAAGTCCAGTGGCCTCATGAAAAAAAAGCATCTTTGGGATGCTGTTTTTATTATTTGTATTTATCGTTATTGTGCCTTGGATGTTATATTTTTGGTAACCCCCTAGTAGGTGTCTGATTGCTGTGGCCTAAACCTTAAAGAAATATTTTTTATTAAACAAACAAAACAAAACGTATTAAACAAACCCAATAATAAAAATGAGCAAACCTGCCAGCCACCTAATTAATAAACAATAAGATTCATGCCACAGGAGGTATCTAAATCAATACGTCTCCATCTCAAATTCCTTTTGAAATAGCCAATAACTAAATGCTAGGATGTTGGGGTAAGACTTTGGGGAGGAGGAGGCAACTGAAAAACATAATTTGCTAATTGAATTCACCCTTTTTCTGACTTTACACAGTTTTGCATCCCCAGCCAAGGGAGTTGGGAATACTGAAGTTGCCAAGCCACCAAATAAATAAAATTAGTAATTTAATCACATTGATATGGTCGTCCATCTCACGAAACCCAACTGCGGGTGGCCTGCAATGGAATAAAACAACAGATTAATTAATGTATTGTTGAATATGTTTGATTAATGTATTTTAATTAAAGAAAATGTTCTATTAGAAAGCAACTGAGCAAAATTAGCCAAACAAGATAGATAGATAGATAGATAGATAGATAGATAGATAGATAGATAGATAGACAGACAGATAGATAGATATAGATAGATAGATAGATAGATAGGATAGTGATGAGATAGATAGATAGATAGATAGATAGATAGATATAGATGATAGATAGCATAGTGATTAGATAGATATAGATGATAGATAGGATAGTGATTAGATAGATAGATGATAGATAGATATAGATGATAGATAGGATAGTGATTAGATAGATAGATAGATAGGATAGTGATGAGATTGATCGATCGATAAATATAGATGATAGATAGGATAGTGATTAGATAGGTAGATAGATAGATAGGATAGTGATGAGATAGATAGATCGATAGATCGATCGATAGATAGATGATAGATATAGATGATAGATAGGATAGTGATTATTATTATTATTATTATTATTATTATTTATTGAATTTATATACCGCCCTATCTCCCTTACGGGACTCAGGGCGGTGAACAGGCGATAATAAAAACCACGATAAATATACACAAGTTTCTGTTCTAAAATCAAATTAAATAACAGGCCTGCTCTAAAAATACCCCATACAAAACCTCCACTAAAACATAATCAAACTACGCCAGGCCGGCCGCACGGAATAGATGGGTTTTCAAGGCTCGGCGGAAGAGGCGCAGGTCCGTAGTTGTACGTAGGTCGGGGGGTAGGTCATTCCAGAGGGCAGGAGCTGCCACAGAGAAGGCTCTCCCCCTGGGGGTCGCCAGCCGGCATTGTCTGGCCGACGGCACCCTAAGGAGGCCCTCTCTGTGGGAGCGGACTGGTCGAAGGGAGGTGTTTGGTAGGAGGCGGTCTTGCAAATACCTAGGTCCATTGCCACGGAGCGCTTTAAAGGTTGTTACTAACACCTTGAAGCGCACCCGGAAGGCCACCGGCAGCCAGTGCAGCTCGCGCAGGAGAGGTGTTACATGGGAGCATCTAGAGGCCCCCAGGATCCCCCGCGTGATGAGATAGATAGATAAACCTTTATTGTCATTTTTTACTGTGAGCACAATGGCATATTAAAAATGAAATTTAGTTGCTTGCTCTCAAAGCGTACACGAACATAACACACATTTAAACATACTATATACAACATATGTATAGACCTACACCCTTACATACAAGTAACATATAAGTATTAATCACTGTATAAATAAATATAATATAAATAAATACATTCTATTAAAGGGAACCACAACACACACACACACACGTTCACCCTAGAACGCGAACCTGCCTGCTCCAGCACTTTTAATTTAAGGAATTGTAAATTTATTTATTCAAACGAAAAGATGAAACTCTTGGCAGACAGTTCCGTCCCCGCCCCTTCTGCCACGCCCACCCTCGGCTCCTCCCCCTCCCCCTAGCCCGGCCCTCCTCGCAGCCACGCCTCCCCATCGAACGCCGCCTGGGCGCAAGGAGCTGGCTACGCGCTGGGGCGTGAAGCGTTTTCGTTGCTTTTTTTGTTTTGGCCCCGGCGAGGATCCGTCGCCGCCGGTCCGTTGCCGATTGCGGTCCGGGTGGCTACCGCGACTCCGGGCGGATAGGAAGAGTCCGGCGCCGCCGCCGCCGCCATGAGCGAAAAGGGGGAGCTGGATCTGACGGGCGCTAAGCAGAACACGGGGATGTGGCTGGTCAAGGTGAGCCTCGGGGGCCGGAGGGGGGTCCTTGCCCGGGGGAAGGTGGCCTTTCGGCGGGAGAAGAAGCCGGGGAGGCTTCCCTTCCGCTCTTCCCAGCCAGGAGGGAATAGAATAGAATAATAAGAGCTGGAAGGGACCTTGGAGGTCTTCTAGTCCACCCTGCGCCATCTCAGACGAGGGATCGTCTAGTTAGTAGCCTCTTCTTAAGAATCTCCAGTGATTTGGGGTGGGTGTGGGGTGGGGCAGACGGTTAATCTGCGGAACTCCCCGCCACGAGAGGCGGTAAGGGTGGCCGGTGGGTGAGGAAGCGGGTCCCCAGGAGGAGAATTGGGCTCAGTGGAGCCTCCATGGTCAGGAGCAGTAGGCCTTGAGGAGGGGGGGGCGGGTCCAGTGCTGATATCAAGCATTGTTGGACCACGTTTTGCACGGGGTTGGGGTGAAGTCCACTAAAATGCGGGGGGAGGGGGAGGTCCTCGATATGCGACCGCAATGGAGGCCGAAATTTCCGTCGCTAAGCGAGACAGTGGCTAAGTCAATTCTGCCCATCTTGCGACCTTTCTCTTTCCCGCCGTTGTTAAGCGGATCGCTGCAGTTGTGGTGGCTTAAGTGAACCTTCCCTTCCCCCCTTGGCTTGGCTTGTCCAAAGGTCGCACAAAAGGGGGTCACGTGATGCCCCCTCCCCAAGGACGCCGTGACCGTCATAAATGCGAGTCAGTTGCGTCTCAGTTTCGATCACGTGACTGCAATGGTCGTAAGTGTGAAAAACGGTCATAAGTCTCTCTTTTCAGTTGGCCTTGAAACTTCAAATAGTCACTAAATGAAAGGTAAACTTACCCTATACGGGTAGTCCTCGATTTACGACCAGAGTTGGACCCAAAATTTTCCGTTGCTCAGTGAGACATTGGTTGAGTGAATGTTGGTCCGTTTTACGACCTTTTTGCCACAGTTGTTAAGTTAGCGACACGATTGTTAAGCGAATCTGGCTTCCCCATGGACTTGTCAGAAGATCGCCAAAGGGGATCACGTGACCCTGGGATGATGCTGCGACTGTCATAAATATGAGTCAGTGGACAAGTGCCTCAATTTCGATCACGTGACCATGGGGGATGGTCGTAAGTGTGAAAAAAGGTCATAAGTCATTTCTTTCAGTGCCATTGCAACTTCAAATGGTCACTAAATGAAAGGTAAACTACCCTTTAATGGGTCTCAATTTTGGTCATGTGACCACGGGGACTGTTGCAACGGTTGTAAGTGTGAAAAATGGTCATAAGTCATTCTTTTAGCGGCGTTGTCCTTCGGTTATGTATTCAAGATGGACAGTGATTAATATATGTTGCTTATATGTAAGGCTGTAGGTCTATATACGGTACATATATTGTGTATAGAATGTTTAAATGTGTGTTATATATGTGTGCACTTTGAGAGCAAGCAACTAAATTTCATTTTTAATGTGGGCCGTTGTGCCCACAGTAAAAAAAATGACAAAGGTCTGTCTGTCTATATCTATCTATCTATCTATCTATCTATCTATCTATCTATCTATCTATCTATCTATCTATCTATCTATCTATCTATCTATCTATCTATCTATCTATCTATCTATCCATCCATCCATCCATCCATCCATCCATCCATCCATCCATCCATCCATCTATCTATCTATCGTTGTAAGTCAAGGGCTACCTGTAAACTCAATAAACTGTCCTATAGTGTTTTGCACTATATATTGAGAGAGGGGAGGGAATTTATTTATTCTGGGCTTCACTGAATACTGGGTAAACCATGATGGATTAGACCCCACATTAAAGCCTCATAAGGTCCTTTTATTTCTGCTTTGCATTTTTTTTAGCCCTGGCGCTGTAGTAATCAGCTTCTGTTTAGCGTTCCCCAAAGGAAAAGTGAAACTCTGCATTCTCAATCCTGTAAGACTTCTAAAAGGTGAATTTCAGAGCAGGGATAAATAGCATCCTATTGCAAGGCATAGTATAGTTTTCAACTTACATCCAAAGTAATTACAAGAAATCAGCGTAGGTTTGTCTCTTTCATCTTATTTTTTGTAAGGATAGCTTTCTTAAAAGCGGGAGTGCAATAGTCCTAATATCGACTTGATTTCAGCCAAGGATTTGATGAGGAGATTGGACAGCCATTTGTCTGGAATGGGAAAGGGTGTCCTGCTTGAGCAGGGGGTTGGACTAGAAGACCTCCAAAGTCCCTTCCAACTCTGTTATCCTGTTATTGTTTCATTGACCTGATTGTCCAGAACATCACACATGGCTACACATTGCTCGTTCAGCCTATCAATCTTACCCAAGTGGGTTTTCTAAAAAAGGAACCGATTTACATTCTGATTATGAATATACTGTGGTTTCTTTTTGCACTGTACAAATAAATAACCAATCTAAATTACTAGCAATTTTCATCAAGCAGGACAGGGGGAACATACCATAAAGAAGAAATGGTCTGAGCTGAACATTAAAGCTGGAAAGTAATCTTTTGCTGCTTCACTAACTCCAATTAAGCTTAATTAGGTAGCATCTCCAATAGCTGCAGGAGATTGGAATCTGAAATTGTGTAGCTCTTTTTCAGAGGAGGAAAAATCCTTTTCTGAAATGAGATTTCACCTGGGACAGCTATATATAGCCTTTTTCAGTGCGTGGAATTTGCATTTCCACTTTTTGTGAAACATCTAAATCAGAATAGTTGAATTTCATTTGATTTCTAGTTCATTGGCTGCAGTCCTTCATTTTTAGCTTATGCTTAGCGCCATAGCGCTAAGTTACATGCACTAATAATTATAATTATATGCATTAATCAGTATTTCTAATGAATTAACAATATTTAAGTATTCAGTATAACAAAATAATCTAGAAAGCTGTCTTCGTATTTTAAATCTCTCGTTTACTTATCTGTTATACACACACACAAATCTTTTTTCAGTATTTCTTCTTGTATTAATATATATTTTCTTTATAGAGTAGTCCATAAAAGAATAAAAAAAAATAAGCAGGCAGACCTTAACAGAAGTACTATTATTAGGTTTGCAGGAAAACCAAGAAGTAAATAAAACAGGAAAGAACATTTTGGCCACTAAGTATCACATTTAATGCTTGGGGGTTTCTGGAGGAAGAGATACAAATTGAATAAAGTGAGTGTTTTGGATTCAACATTGGGAAGGGTGTGTAACTCATGTGGATAGAATTAAGATTTTTTTTCTATCTCCCAGGATTGTTTTTTTAAGATGATAAAAGACATGGAATTAGGATTTCTTTGGATTTTTTTTTCTCCAGATGCTGTAATCTTATTATAAGACTGTCATAGTACGTGTGATTCCTGACTGCACATTGATTGTCAACCGTCGCCGTTCCAAAAAGCACTTTCCTTCAGGAGTTCAGGGCTAAGAGGCCTCACTGATTCATTTTGATTTTTAGCTTTTAAAAGGATGCCCTTTGCTGCTTCCTTCTTCCTCTTTTTGAGTGTGTTTTACTTTGCAGTCAGGAGGAAGTAAGTACAGTAGGCATAAAAAAGGAGCAGAGTCAGATGGCAAATGCAGCAGTCAGTAGCTTTTTTTCGTCTCCGCTACAATCGTGTGTAAAGCCTCTGAATTGTGTTTCTGTCGTGATGTGGTTAACTTGATGACAATCGTATTATATTTAGTAGAACTTGAACAGGTCACAATTACATAGCTCCCAGGTTTGAGAATTAGGAAACTGTTTTTTTTTTAATGGTTGAGATAATCCTTGGAGGCCTCCTGCTTCCAAGCTTCTGGTGTCTTCCTTGGGAAGAAGATCTTAGCCAAGCTTAGGTGGACAGGAGGGGTCCTTGGTGCTCTCTGAGCTTGCCTGTTTTTTCTTGCAGACGTTTCATTACCCAAACTAGGTAACATCATCAGTGCTAGAAGAGAGGGGTGGTTTGTGGAGAAGAGGAGGAGGAGGAGGAGGAGGAGGAAGAAGAAGGAGGGACTGTGGGGTCCTTGGTGCTCTCTGAGCTTGCTTGTTTTCTTGCAGACATTTCATTACCCAACTAGGGAACATCAGTGCTAGGAGGAAATGGGCTTTATGGAGGAGGAGGAGGAGGAGGAGGAGGAGGAGGAGGAGGAGGAGGAGGAGGACGACGACAACTCTGGGGTCCTTGGTGCTCTCTGAGCTTGCTTGTTTTTTTGCAGACATTTCATTACCCAAACTAATTAACATCATCAGTGCTAGAAGGGAGGGGGGATTGTGGAGAGGAGGANAATGAGGGGTCCTTGGTGTTGTCTGAGCTGGGTGGTTTTCTTGCAGACGTTTCATTACCCAACTAGGTAACATCTTCAGTGCTAGAAGGGAGAGGGGATTGTGGAGAGGAGGAGGAGGAGGAGGAGGAGGAGGAAGAGGAGGAGGAGAAATGAGGGGTCCTTGGTGCTCTCTGAGCTTGGTTGTTTTTTTGCAGACATTTCATTACCCAACTAGGTAACATCATCAGTGCTAGAAGGAGGGAGGAGCAGGAGGAAAGGAGGAGGACAACCGTGGGTTCCTTGTTGCTCTCTGAGCTTGCTTGTTTTCTTGCAGACGTTTCATTACCCAACTCGGGAACGTCATCAGTGCTAGAAGGGAGGAGGAAGAGGAGGAGAAATGTGGAGCAGCGATAAGACATTCCATAATCCCGAACATTTAACGCTTCGGCTTCCTGAGAGTCACCACAATGTTTCTATTCGTTTATAAAGCTCTAAGCAAGCCAGGCAGTGTTTCTCAACCTTGACAATTTTAAGGCACGTGGACTTCAACTCCCAGAATTCCACAGCCAGCAATGCTGGCTGTGGAATTCTGGGAGTTGAAGTCCACGTGCCTTAAAATTGTCAAGGTTGAGAAACACTGGGCTAAAGGAACCCAGACTTCCGCCCACAAGCAATATTGTCGGCTGCAATAACTGCTCTACTAACACGAGTCCCGGGAGCCTTGCTTGTTGTAGCCCAGTTTCATGGTGGCTCCATCCTAATTACACGCTTGGATAAGGGTGGGGGAGCA